CATTTGTTAGCGGGCAAATATCTTCAAATTCTAATAATATCGATTTTGTTTAGACCAAAAAAAAAAAAACGATTTTGTTTGGGCTAAAGTCGGCATTTATTCTTCTCCATGCGATATGGATAATCGAACATTACAGTTGAATTGATATCTCATAAAACTATATATAAACATAGTTGAATTAATAACTCGTAAACTTAAAACAAAAAAAAAAAAGTCTCTGTTAAAATGCGTATAAATATAAATATTATAACTCTGTGCGTAGAGTTGTAGACCTTATGTATGCGAGTGTCCTTTAGATCACTACGTAATGTGACCAACAAAAAAAAAATCACTACGTAATTAAACTAAAAAGACTTTTCTTGGAAAATGAGATAATTTCCAAAGTCTGTTGGACCTTTCGTCTTCGTCTTCTTTTTAACTTTTTAAGTAGACCAAACTGATAGTGGTACTGGTAGTCTTCTTCGTCTCTGTAGATTCTTCTCCACCACTTCTCTAAAAATAACTTTTTATTTTTAATACTTTGCTTGCCTTGATATCCAAATTAGGTCTCTCGGTGCTTTGATGAACTATCTTTATATAAAAAGACCAAGGGCTATGGAGAAAAACCAGAAAACAAGTATGCTCGATAGATTATGTTCTTGGTCTATCAAAGATATTCTCAACGAAGATCTCCATAAGGACAAGGTTTTGATCTCTTTTAACCCTTCATCAGTTATAGATTTTTGTCTTTATAGTACTTATTATACAGTATATTCCTCATCAATTGTGTATATTTTTGTAACAGTTAGAGACAATACCAGATAGATTTGGATCTGTTGTTGAATATTTTCAATGTTTTGTTCCTCATTTACTCGAGGAAACGCGAGCAGAGTTGTTCTCGGGGCTTAATTCTTTATCGAAAGCTCCCGTCTTTAAAATACATTCCGTGAAAACAATGACAATGAAATCAGGTGAAAGCTCATCGATCAAGTTGTTCCATGAAATAACATTAATGGATGCAGAGGATATTAGTGATAAGTACAAGCCAGAATGTGGAGATCTAATTGCTCTGAGTCTGACTAAGGAATTGCCAATACGAATCGATGACTTGAATCCTTTACTTCTCGCCTATGTATTCCGTGTACATGGTGATATTAAAATCTAATGTTCATTTGTCTAGACCGTTATCTTCTGGTCAGATATATTCGCTTTGTTTCGGCGGTTTTCTCATGAATCTAAACACAAACACTCGAATATGGAACGCTTTGCACAATGAAGATGCCAACTTGACTCTAATTCAGAGTGTGCTTCAACCAAATACTTTGGTAATTTTTTAGAAATAATATTCTTCTTTGCCTACACATCTTAATGGAATCTTAATTTATTATTCGATTTCTTAATATATGTTTCAGGCTACAGAACAATGTGTTTGTGAAAATAATGTTGATTGTTCTGATTATGACCGTGTTTTGGATATAATCCGTTCAGCGAAACTGAACTCTTCCCAAGAAGCTGCAATCTTGAGTTGCCTTAAGAAAAGGAATTGTAATCACATGAAGAGTGTGAAACTGATATGGGGACCTCCTGGTACTGGCAAAACAAAGACGGTCGCTACACTTCTCGTTGCCCTACTCAAGCTAGAGTGCAAAACGGTTGTTTGTGCTCCTACAAACGCAGCTATTGTTGAACTTGCATCGAGACTATTGGCCTTATCTAAGGAAATGGTTGCGTGTGATCTTAGAAACAGAGCTATTGTTGAACTTGCGTCGAGGTTCTCGTCTTTATTCTATGAAACTTCTACTATAGAACGTACCACTTACGGTATGGGGAATATAGTTCTATCTGGAAACCGAAAGAGGATGGGGATAGACAAGAACGAAGTTCTTCTTGATGTGTTTCTTGATCATCGCATCAGTAAACTTGAAAAACTGTTTTCATCATCTTGTGCATGGAAACAGAGTTTGGAGTCAATCATAGATTTACTTGAGAACACAGAGGCTAAGTACGAGCAACATGTACATGAGTTAGAAGAAGCTGAAAGGATCGTGAGAGAAGAAAGAGCGAAGAAAGAAGCTGAAAGGAAGAAGCAAGAAGCTGAAAAGAGGAAAGAAGAAAGTGATAAGGAGGAGGAAGAAGAAGCTGAATCGAAGAAAGACGAAGCTGAAAGTAAGAAGGAAGAAATCGAAAAGGAGAAGGAAGAAGTTGTAAACATTCCTACATTGGGAGAGTTTGTATGGAAGAAGTTTAATGGCTTAAGTGAAGTATTGAAGCTATATATGGTTAATTTGTACACACATCTTCCCAAGTCGTTGATTTCATTCGAAGATGTGAAGAAAATGATCGCAGCCCGTCAAGCTCTTGAGCGTGTAAAAGATTTCTTGCAAGATAACTCTTCCAGAGAAGATTTCAAGAAGGAAAGTTTCAGATTTGATTGCTTTAGAAGATCCATCAGTGTTGATTGCCTTGTGGCTCTAAATTTGCTTCCAAAATGTTTCTTGGTTCCTGACTTGTCGGGATACAAAAGTATAAGGAGATTTTGCCTACAAGAGGCTGATATAATCTTCTGTACAGCTTCTGGTGCTGCAAAACTGAATGAGGAAAAGACAGTATCGATAGACCTGCTTTTGGTTGACGAGGCAGCTCAGCTTAAAGAATGTGAAATCGGTTGCTGCATTGCAGCTTTGCGGTTTGCGTCACGCTGTTCTAATAGGAGATGAGTTTCAGTTACCAGCAATGGTTCGTAAGGATGATTGCGAAAAGGCGAAATTCGGAAGAAGCTTGTTCGAGAGATTGGTTTTACTTGGACATAACAAACATTTGCTTAATGTTCAATATCGAATGCATCTTCGATTAGTCGTTTCCCGAACAAGGAGTTTTATGGTGGGAAAATCACTGATGCTTCGTTTGTTCAACAAAGAAGTTATCAAAAACGTTTTCTTCAAGGAAACATGTTTGGTCCATTCTCTTTTATCAATGTGGGTCGCGGAAAAGAAGAGTTTTGTGATGGAAATAGTCCCAAGAACATGGTTGAAGTTGCTGTGATTTCTCAAATCATATCCAATCTTTTCAAAGGTATAATAATGTTTTAATGATTTAAAATTGTTTCTCTTCAATATTATTCTCTTTTTTGATTAATTTGGTTATGTTTTGAAACAGTTTCAAGTGAAAGAATGATGAACATAAGTGTTGGAGTGATTTCACCATACAAAGGACAAGTAAACGCAATCCAAGAAAGTGTCGGAGATAAGTACGGTTCCTTATCAGGTCAGCTTTTCACTTTGAATGTTCGATCTGTAGATGGATTCCAAGGAGGAGAAGAAGATGTTATCATCATATCTACCGTTAGAAGTAACGGTAAAGGAAATATTGGGTTTCTAAGTAACCGTCAAAGAGCAAATGTGGCACTGACTCGAGCAAAGCATTGTTTATGGGTGATTGGGAGCGAGACGACTTTGGCTCGAAGTGGTTCGGTTTGGACAAAACTGATAAGTGAGTCGAGGAGACGTGGCTGCTTCTTTGATGTTAAAGATGACCAGAGATTGAGAGATGCTATGAATGATGCTTTGCTTGAAGATGTATCTTCGAGTTTTGATTCTCTTTCGATCAGAAATGGGAGAAGAATTGGTTGGTAATGGTAAGGCGTTTTATCTATCTTATTTTTCAAAATTCATGTTTGGTTTGTTTTTGCTATGGAGAAAACTCTGTTTGGGATTTACGAATTTTATGGTTTTATTTATCTTACTAAATGGTTGGTACTTTGATTACATTTTTTATCACTAAACTAATCTATTT